CCCAGGATTTCACTTTGTGGCATATTTGATGGAATTGTCCAATAATGAGAATATATAGGAATCAAATCTTGAAATAAATTTAAATAAATTACAATCTACAATCTACCCCAAGACTCCATGGTCATACTACCAGGATTGCTGGAAGACTATTTACCAGCATCCTACTTAGTCATCTCAGTAAAAATTGCAGCAGCAAATTAAGGTATCTCCAGACATTCCAGTAGCTGAATAAAACTTTGTACATTTACCCAAATATATAAATTTAGAGAAATGATGAGACATCAAGGCCAAAAACATTTGGGAATTTTGTAAGGGAAATTACAATATTAATTTAAATTTGTATATAATCTTCTGTAATGGCTATGGCATGTTGTCAAAAATAGAGGTGTCTAGTAAAGCAAATAGTGTATGAAGGTGCTTCGACTTGAGACTTTTATTGTGGAGTCACCCTGCATCATTCACAGACTTTATAGAGAATTCATATGTCATAAACTTCCATCCTTTTCCACTGCTGCTGCTTTTTTCTTATAACTTCTGCAAGGAAAGAGAAGATGGAATAGTTGCACAGTGTCATGTGATTATCAGTGCCAGGAGCTGTCCATCTGGAATCACTCAAGAGTCTGGCATTGTGCCACTCATTGTGGTAAACTTGTTTTATGTCTTATTTTGTATGTATGTATGTAGACTGCTTTGGGATTATAGGTAAACCACTAAGAGATTCTGTATAACATTTAGCACTATAGAAATACTACAAATGAATAAATAAATAAATACATAGATTTTAGAGTTCTTAGCTTTCTTGCCAATGCTTCTTAAAGGTCAGAAGCTGAATATGTATAAACTGTGCTGGCAGTCTTTTTTCAGATTAACTGATTTGAAAATGTGACTGGCTTACTTTCAAGATGTAAGCATAAAAGATTGCGCTGAAAACAACCATAAATTGCTATGCGCTGTCAAGTCATTTTTGACGTATGACAAACCTGTGAATGAAAGCCCTCCAAAATGTCCTATTCATGCCTGTCCTGCTCAGCTCTTATATATTGCTTTAAATTTATTATAATTATGCATTGAAAATGTATTATTAACTGTCCCAATGCTTTTTTCTAATAAAATGTGTTCTTGACAATATGTGGTTAGAATTCTCATTACCAAATGGACATATTTAACTGTATCCTTTGCATCCTTACATTGGATTGTCAAGTTAATTCTCTTCTATCTGACTGTTTTTCCTGCATTTTTACAGACCTTCAGAGTTGATTAATCCTGGCATTGTTTATAGATTAATTCCGCTTTTGAAAGCATTAAGTTAATTAATCCTTTACAAATGTTTCCCCCTTTTGGATGCACACCTTAACACAACTGGAGTAGATAGGATTCCAGTAAAACCAATAGAATTATTCCAAGCAGAATCACTCCAAAACCTAGCAAGAATATGCTGGAAAATATGGAAAACAAAACAATACCCTACAGAGTGGAAATGCTCAGTATACCCTCCAATATTACTTTCCAATCCCCAAGAAAGGAGATGCAAAAGAGTGCCTCAAACATAGGACCATTGCACTAATTTTCCATGCAAGCAAAGTGATGCAAAAAATGCTGCTGCAAAGAATATTATTCTGAATTTATTTAGAATAAGTTTTTACAAATATTTGAAGTTATTTAGCAGACAGAAGGGTGTGCAACAGCATAAAACAGCATATACATAATCATAAATATTTAAGTATAGTAAACAATAATGAAACAAGTAAATAATAATAATGCACAACACAATAACAACTGATCCACAGCAAACCAATCATCATATAGATAAAAACCAGTATAAAATCAGTACAATTCAGCAATTAAAATAATGGGAAAATTAAAAGATTTTCATCTGGCACCAAAATGTATAAAGTGTTGGAACCAGGTGCACCTCCCTAGGGAGCTGATTCCATAATTGGGGTGCCACTGCCAAGAAGGCCCTCCCCCTTATTTCTTTTAAAGGTGGCTCCTGGAGAAGGAACACCATAGATGTATGTAGCAAGAAATGCCTGCTGTAAATATATGTTGGCTACTGGAGTGCAGAGATTTACTGTCAACACAAAAGATTGTGAAAGATTTTACATACGTTGCTTGGATCATTGCTTCAAATGGAGACTGCGTCCAAGAAATCGAAGCAGGCAGGCTTAGAATGACAACAGTGAAAGAACTAGTAAAGATCATCAAATGTAAGGACTCTTCACTGGAGACCGAGGCCAAAATAATGCACAGATTTCTATTCCCAAATACTGTGTATGGGTATGAAAGGTAGTCAAGAAGAAAATTGATGCTTTCAGAATATGGTGCCAAAGGAAATCTTTGCAAATACTGTGGATTGAAAGAAAGACAAACAAGTGGGTCCTTGATCAAATCAAGCCAAAGATTTCCCTAGAAGCAAACATGACAAACCTGAGGCTGTCATAATTTGGAGACATCATGAGAAGCTAAGACTCCCTGGAGAATCATGGTAGGGAAAGGCAGAAAGGTGACCAAATAAGAGATTGATTGGCTTGATAAAGGAGGCCAAAGCCCTGAATTTAGAGTAACTGAGCAGGGATGTCGTGGTGGGATATTCTGGAGCACTTTCATTCATAAGGTTGCTATAAGTTAGAGGCAACTTGACAGCACATAACTATAACAAACAGATGTTTGCTCAGATGCCTGAAAGGAAAAATAACACTTTAGTTTTTAGAAGAAATTAAATCTCTTGTGCTGTCTGTGCTACAAATTGAGCCAGTTGCTGAAGTAAGTAGACTTTGATCTCATACTGGTAAACCCCAGTTGAGGATTATGACTCTAGTAGCAACAAGTAGACATACCCATTTTATGTCTATAGTTTTTACAAAACAGCTTGCCTCCCCCTGCATACACATACCATTTGAAGGCAGTTAGAATATCCTGTTAAAGATTCCTTTACTGTTCATAAAAATAATACAGATGCTTCCAAACCTTTGCCTATGCAAAGTAGTAACAGACATATTAACAAAAGGGAATGGGTATGTAAGAGCCAAGCAGGTCAGGAAACAGCTGGTTCTGTGCAAATGATGGAAGATGTTCGTATCAATGGAATACTTGCATGAAACAAAGCTGTGTCTTAACTTTGTATGGAAAATACAACTAATGGCCTTCCTCATAACCTTTCCTAAATAGGTGCTTTTAATTCATTAGTATTAAGATATTGGAAGGTTGTCAGATGGTAAGCCTAAACGCATCTCTTCTGCCATCTCCCAGTTCTGGGTATTTTCATGACATGTTTTGTTAATGGTTCTTCCTCTTCTTACATTGGGAGTTCCACATGATGCCATATTCTTTTTTTGGCATTCTTATTCATTTCTTTTCACTTTAGTTATATTATTTTTTATTTTAAAGCATTCCTCCTTTACTTTTATCTGCTAGTAGAGCTTTAATCCTTATATTGTATGTCTTGCTTGTCCCCGTTCTTGTTGTTCCCATCCCTGGAATGCTCTGTCTTCTTTTAAGATATGCCCCTCTTTTTAATTTTTAACCATGGTCATAATTGATAAATAAATTCCTTCTGTGGCCATTTGCTTTTGCTATTCTTCCATTTGATTTTAAGGCTGGGAACAGATTCTGTCTCTTTTATTATGCAGTGTTTCTTACATGTGTTTTGAAAGCATTTTAGAAATGTCAGGAAAAGCTTTTGGTTATTTTTTGTATCAGAGGCTGCTGTTCCCTGCTGAAGAGCAAGTTCAGTAAAGAAATGGCAATCCCCATGTTTTTGCTGATAGAATTTATAGATTGAATCTTTCTTATGGTTTGATTATGTTTTTAGCTTAATGGTACAATTCTTTTCAAAGCAAGTAACAATTACCAATGGATTATGCATCTTGGGGACTGGGGAGATTATTTTTAGCAGCCCTGTTGGGGATTACCTGAGCTTGGATCAAGTTTCAAGACAGAAACACTTAATAGCTGTACTGCAGCCCTTTTAGAAATAGTGTAACTTGGCAGTATTTATGGCCAGTATTGTTTTCTGGCGTTTTAAACTTGCTTTCAATGTTAGGAAAGACGCTCAGTGTTGCTGACATCTTAACCTTTTCAGTATTAAAATGTAGTGTTACAAAGTTAATATCATAGTAATTGAGTTAGCGCCAAATGTTGCTTTTCAGCCCTGTTTCTTTGTGTAGCTTTTGAGCGTAATCCTACTGACACCAACTGCCTTGGCACACTTTCAGAGATACAAACAAAAGGCAAATTGTGCTGGCTTTTGGGAGGTGGAGAGAGAATAGCAGACAAAGCAAGGCCTAAATTTATTCCGTTAATTCATTTATCATACAAATGAAAACTCTGCTTGTTCCTTGCCTCTTTTCTCTTCCCCTCTAACATTCATGAGGAATATCATCTTCGCAACTTTTCATGTGGGAGGAAAATCAGAGTCCACTAAGGGTTATGGTAGCAGCCTGTAACAAAAAGGCTGGCAGTTATTAGAATTACTGTGCTGCCTCTTTGGCAGGTGCTTCCCTCCTCCTTGCTGCTGAGCTCCTGCTGGTCTTTAAGATCAAGTTGGGGAGGGAGGGCTCAGTAGTATCAGTTTAGAGTTAATATTGTCATTGAAATATCCTCTTATGTGTTGTTATTAAGACCATCTCTTCATATTATTCTGGAAGTAAGTAAGCACAAGGGAGCAGTTAGGTCCAGTACTCCAGGGCACTCATGGTTTTGTCTTCCTACCCCTGCAGTTGATTCTGATGCTTGCCAGAATACTTGGAAAAAAGGAGAAAGAGTATATTTTGAACATGATAAACTTTCATTCCTACTATAATTTATCTTAATAAATTACATTTATTAAGGCTTCGGCGAATGGGGCGGCATAGAAATTTTCTAAATAAATAAATAAATTTAGGAGGCAGGAATCTGTTACCTTCATCTTCTTAAAACACATATATTTTGGGAAGTGTTCACATATCATCTTTCTTTCCTGCCATTTTATATGCTAAACATAGACTTGTATTTTCTTTAAGGACAATGAACACTAGAAGACCCTCAGTCCTTATAAAAAGTCCAGCAGTGATAAGCCAGTGTGCCCAAGGAGAGACAGAAGAAAACACAACATGGTAAGACAATTTCCCTTTTAGATTTTATTTTTTCTTGAACAAAATCAATATGAATTATATAAGCAGAAACGGTTGCTTTTTAAATAAAGAGATCAAAGGATGAATGTGACATTTAGTCTGCAAACAGGCATTTTTTTTACTGTACTGCTAAATGTCTTCTATTAATTTTAGAACAATTTCTAAATAGAGTAAGATGGTAGGATGGACCGTAGCATTTCAAAAGGCTAGTACACTATAGAACAAATTGAAGAATATCCCAGTCTTCAAAGAAAATGAATCCCACATTTTCCACTAACCCTGGCCTTGCTTTTCTGCTAAGCGCAACCAGAAGCAAGATAGGATTAGAAATTTACTTAGAGAGAGTACCAACGAGCACAACCCAATGCTGCAGGGCAAAAGAGAGACTAAAGCTCTCCCTAATGAATTTCCTTTCTCCCTCATCTGAAGCTGCATTAGATTAATTGGAGGGCAAGAGGTGGATTCTTATTTGCTTAATGGACCATTGATGAATCAGAATCCTTAATTTCATAAAATGCTTTATGTTTTGATATCAAATACTGAAACTAGACTTTGAAAAGGGAAAGGTTCCTCCTTCTTTATATAGTAATATTAGCTGTTTGGTAGCTGTGGGAAAACTCTTATCATGTAAACAGCTTAACCAAACTAGCTGGATTTTTTTTACTTTCTTCACTAGAAATCTGGCAGAATGTAGTAAAAAAGGTCAGTGACAAGATTACAAAATCCAAATCAAACCCTTCCCCAATATTTGATAGCATGTGTTTGAAATATCAGCAATTATATTGAAGGAGTGCTTCCTTCTCTATGTGCCTTCCCGCCCTTAAGATAGAGAAGGAAGCACTCCTTATGGAGATCCTTCTTTGGGAGTCCTCCTTGAAGGAGATTAGGAGGGTGGCTACCCAGACAAGGGCCTTCTTGGTGGTGGCGCCCTGGTTATGGAATGCACTCTCCAGAAAGGTTTGCCTGGTGCCAACTCTGTATTCCTTTCACTGCCAGGCTAAAACCTTTTTATTCACCCCTTATTTTAAGGTTGAGTAGGATTTAATGTGGGTTTTATTTATTGGATTTATTGGATGTTATGCTTTATCTTAGTCTGTTTTTATTGTAAAACTGTCTAGAGACTGTTGTAGTTGAACACTATAGAAAAGCTTTAAATAAATAAATACATAGTATGTCAACTTATATGAGTTGGTCTTCAGTAACTCGTTACTTCTTACCCTTCCAAATGCTGAATGTGACCAGACTCTCCTCTTTCTGGCAGTAAGGACTACTCATTGGATTTAGCCTCATGTTTGTCAATGGCTCTCTCTCTCCCTCTCCCTCTCCCTCTCCCTCTCCCTCTCCCTCTCCCTCTCCTCTGAAAGTGTGGGGATCCAAGATCCATCCAGTCAAGTCCTCTGAATTGCTCAGTCCCTGGAGACATAGCAGCCAATGGAGACAGTGAGGGACCCCTTCCTTGATTGTTGTCTACATGTTTTGATACATGCAGTCTGTACCAGTTGCAATTCATTTCTGCCATCTCTCCTGCAGAAGATACAGAAATCGTGCAAAGTGCCATCCTCAGTGACACCTGGAAAATATGTACAGAGTGCAGAAGAAAGATGTGGAACTCTGGAACTTTTGAACGTAGGGTCATTAGAAGTATGAGACACCATTGTATATTCCTCTTCTGTTCTGGGGCTATGGATGGTGAACTATCAGACATCATAGCTCAGTAGCAGATTTTCCTTTTGCACAGGATAGGCTTCCTTTATGACTAAAGGGAGATGGCCAGAGTATTCCAGGCAGAAGCTTCACACCTTTCCCATCAACATGGCCAGGTACCAGATGTATTGCGGTGCAAAGGTGATGATCAGGGTGGTAGCACTGAGGAGACATACAGTACATGGTTGTGCGTGGCCAGTTTCTCACATAATTTGTCTGTCTCAAGTTGCCCTCTTATACACCTCAGGTCCAAATAGAATATTCTGCTTGACAACAGTCAACAACTCAACCAAGACACAGGAATTCCTTGACTAGATACTGCCAAAGTTGCAGGCATTTGGACCTTCCACCATATTGTTTTCACACTTCTGAGTGTCATCCTCACTCACTTTTCAATAATGTTTGTTACTGCATTGTGTTTACATCCCACCTTTTTACCTCTTGTGAGTTGCTCCAGGGAGCTTACATTGTCTCATTTTATCATCACAACAAGAACCCTGTGAGAGTGGGCTAAGAGTGAGTGACTGGCCCAAGGTCACCCAGTGAACATCTTGGGCATGTAAGTGACTAGAACCAGGTTATCCCAGGTTCCCCGTCCAACAATCTAGCCACCCTACTCAGCTGACTTTACTAAATGAGTCACTGTGTGCAATTCTACGGTAATGGTAGCTGAAACGTTTTGATGCACACCTGGCCTTCTTACATGAGAGTTTTATTAACTCTAGAATATGCCATGAAGCTGGTTGATGACCCTTGCCTTGCATTTCTCCTATATAACCTGCTTCTGTGGGAATGTCAGTTAAACAGCTAAAGGCTTTGGTTTGAAATCTTTGGAGACTTATTTTCATGTTTAAATTTCTTAAATTCAGAACGATTTGTGTGTATGATTCTGGAAATGTATAGTGATGTCCCAAAAGAGGATGTTCTTTGTACCTCTGGAAGTTGTGGCAATAACATTCACATAACTTAAGGGCTTCTGTTCTGCAATTCTTAAGAGTAACTTCACTTGTTTAATGGTCTAGTTCACACATCACAATTTAAAAATTGGTTAGTATGACAGCCTAGCTGCTCGTGCTACAAGCAGGAACAGCTAAACAAACCATGGATGTTTTATCTATGGTTTGGTTGGCAATCTGACAAGGTCTCTCCCTGACAAGTCAGACTTGTAATCTACCTTGAGTTGTATATTATGCTACGTGCTGCTGTCTTAAAATGAGTGGATCTGAATTGTTATAATGGATGACTGGCTTGCCCAGGAGGAGATAAAACAGTGATTTACACATAATGTTAACAAAACCACTAATGGAAAGGCCATGTTTTATTTAATTGCTTTTCTTTCAACGAGAGTGATCAGTCAGCATGCAAGAGTATTCTGCCATGTTCACAATAACCCTGTATTTTAAAAAATCCTGGGTTAGTATGGTATGTAAATCAGGCTTATATCTTGCTCCACATGTTCTGTCCCTAAAAGGAACAGTTTTCAGTTGTTGTAATGGAATTAGTTGCATGAGAATCTAAAGCTCTCTTAAATGGGCAGAGATCCTGTGAAGCTGAGATTTCACTTGGAGAAGATGAGTCATGTAGCATAGCAATTTTTGTAATGTACGCCCAGTAATGAATACAAAACATTGTGCACCACTAGTAACACAGTGATGACAGTCCAAAAGGTGATCTCAGTCTCACATATATGCATTCAAAAAAATAGGCCTTGTGACAAAAGGAAAAAAAAAGGCGAATAAAAATGGAAACAAATCTAAAACTTAAATTAAAAATAATACACACCTACGGGAGCGGTGCTGCTGTGGCCATTATTTTTCTACTGCTACATTTATCTTATATATTGGTATGACATGCATGTAAATGAAGGCTGCTCTGTATTGTAATTTTTAATCCTTTTGTGTTGGTAAACTGACATTAAGAAAGGCTTGCAAGATGTTTTGATCAGGGAAATGGAGCAATTTTTTAGTCTCTTGCATATTTTTCTATCGGACCTCTATCGTAAAACTTATAGGGAATTGCTTCTGTGCATTGGGTGCAAGCACTGCTGGATCAGATCAAAACACCTATCTAATTTAGTATCCTGTTCTTCATCGTGGTCTCTGTGCATCACACATTATGGGTGCTGTGCTTGCGCAGTGCCTGTCGCTGGGAAGATTTAATAGTTTTAACCATTTTTGGTGGGAACTCTGTGCCCTCCCCCCGTAGTATAAATGGTCAGAGTGCTCACCCTTTCCCCAGTCTGCTTGTGACCGCCATTTGCTGTGTCTTGGGCCCTTTTTGTTCTATGCTTGCACTTCTTGATTGTGGTCTCTTAAATCTTGTTTCTTTCTATTCGTTTTTTCCACTTTGCAACTTACAGCCTTTCTCCCAGTTCACCCCTTACCAAACCCCTACCCTTAATTCCCTTGTTCTCCCCCCATCTTAACCCTCTCCATCCCTCTCCAAGATGTCTCCCACTGACCCTCACAATCTGTGTCTTCTCTGCCTTGGAGAAGGGCACAGGACTGATAAATGCAGCCACTGCCAATCGTTCACCAGGCAGGTTCGCAAAAATGTTATGGGACCAAGCACTGGTCACTATGAAGCAGGTCTCGGCTGAGACCAGCTCTTTTGCGGCTTTGGGACTGTCAAAAATCCATACCCGCTCACCCATCTGAAGGGGATCCTGTCGGCAAGGCTGGAAAGCACTCCTCTTCTCCTCCCCACAAGCATAAGGAGAAGAGGAAGCATGTCGGGTACGAGGATACATCGAAGCCTAAGTGTCCTAAGAAGAGCAAACCCAACAAATCCAAGCGCCAGCACAAAAAACATAACAAGGTGCCTCACTTGGAGCAGATTGCTGCACTGATCTTGGTCCCAATCTTGGTCCCGGCCAAAACTCCAAGCCACCAGTTCGATACGCAGGTGACACCGTCATCGTCACTTCCATGGATTACAACTTTGCTGCACTCCAGTCCCGATCCTCTGGCGAAAGGGTCTGTCTTCGATGGAGAAATCCATGAATCTTCTCCCCAGATAGGACCAGAACGTCCGCCTGCGAGATCGCCGACTCCTACGCCCGTAGTTCAATCATCTCCAGAGGGATCTCCAAGGGCATCTCAATGCTCATCATCCCTCTTACCCCCTAGCTTTCTGCATCACAACCTTCGCGGTACTGGGTTCCTCTGCCATATGGGGAATTCGATCCTGACCACTCCGACTGGCCTTATCCATGGAATTACTATTCCCCATATGGATACTACCCATGACCACCAATGTATCCCCATCATTCATTCGGT